GTCATCATCACGATAGTGATCATCGCGGTAGTTCTAATAATAATAGCATCAATTTCCTGGTGAACTAAAATTAAATATGTCTGTATATTTATCTTGATGTACTACAGGATATCACATGACGTTCAGGACAAGGGAAGAAAATACTGGAGCTGTTACAAAAGAAACTTGTGCGGATGTCTCTCTCTGAACTAAACGTAGACAACAAAAACTGAACCACGGTGAAAAAGTGCAAAGCTGTGTATCACTTTTGATGTGCCATTTTCAGGAATATACATACAGCATTTGAGTGAAGCTTCCTGAGTGTCTGACCAATATAGCTGAAAGAAAAGGTCGTTCATACCTAGACAGACGGACGGACAGTGATACCATAATTATATCCTTTCGACATTCAAGGTGGGGGGTATAATAAAATACAGTGAACAACAGCTGTGAATCAATTCACTTCAAATTACCGCGAATCCTTTCCTCGCGCGCTACTGAAATTTTCTAAACAATTGTAAGCTCACAGAGGATGAGATGATAGTACCTGCTGAATATATTCATACAACAAATAAGTTAACCAGAGACTGCAGTGACGGTTCAGGTACAAGTCCAGGTACAGGTTCATTAACTTGTATTGTGGAGGAAACTAAACAAGGATCCCAAATTGGGCGAGTAAAAGCATAACTATGTTAATCTGTTGTTTTATGTTCCTTTACAGAATTTATTATATCCTTCTATATAGCTGTGTAATATTTTTTGTTCCTTTCAATACGGTAATATTGTTTTGATTCTCAGACCACGTTGTATACGCTGCCGTTTGTATTTTGTATATAAAAGTAATATCTAAAGCAGTTATTAACAGAAAACTTAAATATTCCCCTTTTATGATTTGGTAAAGCCAGAATCATAAAAAGTCACGACAGAACTTCAAGGAATTAAAAAAAAAATAGATAAACAGACTTATGAGAACACACTAGAAAACTATTGCACCTTACACTTGTATTGTAACTGCTGTACCCAACGCTTGTACTTGCTTTTTTATTACTTCTGAATTTGATTTTTGAGTCGTATTATGCGATACAACACACTAAATATGATTAGTGCAAAGCCACTTAATTAAGCCCTTCAAGTATGTCACTCCGTAATACATACAAAAATAATAATTTACAAAAAAAATTATAAATACCTGTATTGCACTATTTACTTGTAACGAAGGAACAAAGTCATCTACTATGAGCATGTGCCATGTAATAGCCTAGCCAACTGCTGGTAGTAAAGTCTGAGAAAAATAGATCATGGATGACGAACGCAAACCTTAAGTAGAATGTGACTTGGAGCAGGGTAAGCATTCAGGGGGGATGAAGGATGAAAATTGACGGACAGAGTGAGATGGATTGAGATTGAGGAAGTTGCAGACGAGAAGACAAGAAGTGGTTAAGAGGTTCAAGTGCTTGTCTATTTGTGGCATTCTTAAGGTCTTCATATAAATACTGTACATCTATTATTTAAACGAAATGATTGCGATCTTTAGAGAATAAACATTTTTTGTATATTTTAATATTACTGTGTTGGTTGTAGGAAGTGTCACACACGCACGCACGCGCGCGCGCGGTGGTCGTGACAGGACGGAGTTTTACATACATGGGCATTGAAGGTGCTAACCTCAAGTCTTAAGAGAATGGAGGCATTTTTGGATAAGGTCTACGTACCTAAACGAACCAAACAATCTTTCGTAGTATAAAAATTTTAACTAGCATAACCTACAGTACTGTAAGCAATCCCGTCATTTTTCTAGGTTAATGTAGCCTCGCATAACCTAACCTAGTCCAACATGAAAACTTAATGTAGCCTAGCGGGTATTATTTCACTTGTTGCCACTACACCATTGCGGGAATTTTATAGTTGCAATCAGTGGTTTTGACAATTCTAAGACACTTTTCTTCAATGGCATTTCTGGCGCAAATTATGTTTAAGCGAGATATTTAACATTTTATGATGTATGTTCGTACGTGGCGGTACACACGCAAAACAACACACGACTGTGGAGCTCCCCGGTTAGGTTCGGGTATCGTTTTTCTGGTGGTTTTCGATGTGTTTTAACACTTTTTACCTCGATTTTTATAGCAAATCTCTAGATTCTGAGATGGGAGGAGGCTTATCTCAGAAATTATTTGTTTGCGCCAAAGTGAAGGTCAAATTCGTTCATAACACATAACCCATTGGAAAAACATAGTTTCAACTTTGATTTCGTATAGTGGCAACAAGTGAAATTTTACCATAATCTAGTGAAGCAAAACTTTACTTAATGTAATCTAGTATGATAGCGTACTGTAACTTTATCTACCTTAGCCTAACATAACCTATTCTGGCCTAACATAAGTAATTTATCCTAGCACAACAATGTCGCATTGTATATTTTAAGTTATTCTAACCTAGTCCAACCAAATTAAGTCATAGATAAATTAACTTAATTCAATCATACATAACCTGATTGAACTTTGCACAGCATAGCCAAACCAGATCTAGCTAGGATGACCTCACCTTAACTAAACCTAAATCTAGCCTGGTGCATTTATTTTCTCTAGCGAGTCTTGCCTATCATAATCTAACGTACCCTGGAATGACCAAATCGATTCTGACAAACTAGAACCTAACTAACCTTGATCTTGCCTATCCTACCCCAAATTTAACTCCCGAGAAACCCAACTGTTAACATAATCAATATTAACCTAACCTCATCTTACATACAGTATATTCACAAATCATGCCCTAGTCAATCTAACCTTAATTCACCTAAGCTAGCGAACCAGTCCTGAACAAACTCAATAGTTAATTACGTCTTCAGCTAATTGGCCTTTACCTACATGCTACCTGAATGGCGAGCATTTTTCCAGTGGGATTTAGCTGGAATTTTGTCTAGAGAAATTATCTGCTCCATTTTATCCACTGGAAATTTGTCTGGTGGAATTTTTCCTATTGGTAAATCATCTGATGAGATTTTATTTAGTAGGGTGTTGTCTTGAGGCACCGACCTTGTCCTTGTTTATTTACTCTGCGTCAGCGACGCAGCCAAGTTTACCCAATACACCCACCCACCCTTTCACCTCTGCATCCCTGTCGGAGATAAATAACTCCCGTTGATGTTCCCAATACAAAGATCACCAGGTAGAGTACTGCACAATGTATGTTTTTTCTGGATATTGGTTCCCTCAATACACAAAACATTAATTAATAAAACTGAAAAAAATGGCGTAAAAAGGGGTCGTTTTCCCGACCAAGAGCAAATTCATTTACCTATTTATCCAAGCAAAGAACTTGTAACTGAGTAAATTAAATACACGTATGCCGTTAATGTTTGTTTTGTTTTTGTTTTACTCGCACATGCCTAGTTCAGCTATGGAGCAAGGTAGCCGGACAGGTACTCAGATTTTTAGCATTCTGTAGGATACGAGTACACCATAAGATTGTAGAGCATCGACAAATATAAGGACTAACCTAGTCTTCCACTCCAGTCAGGAATCGAACCTGTAACCATTCGCTTAATAAATGCATGAATGGTTCTTTATATTTTCTAACAAATATTCTATATTGAAATAGGAATACTGCGAAATACGAAATAAATGAATGAAAATATTTACAAGAATACGCCTTAAAAATTGGTCGTAAAAGTGCTGTCGGAGATACGCGCCATGCTAAGGTATTTTATTTCGTGATAAGGATGTAACTCGATACGATAAATTCCAGCCTTGTGGTAGAGTCGTTTATGTTGTGCGTACTGGCGGGTCGACCTCCCGCCCAACGTGACCCAACCATCTTACCTCTCATCTTTCTCTCCCATCTTTACATTGTCATCCTACCTGACCTGATCTATTTCTACAGTCCAATCTTCTCTTTTTGTGAAATGTATGAGTTGAATCTTAAAATTAACATTGATCCACATTTATAGTCAGTGGGGATATTAACAGACTGACACCTTGATACCCACGTTGGGGAGACCATATCCAGCAATGAACTGATGATACTTTCCTGTGATTATATACTTTACTTCACTTCATCCTCTTCGTCACTGATCGGCCAGTTAGCCGCTTGGGCGATCTGTCGTCTGTTAGACACTGTTGGCAAGTACTGTACTGTACTGTGCCTCCAGAATGTAACTGTACCTTCGCCAGTGTTGGTAAAGGCTGGTCTTCAGTGAACTCACACTCGGTAAAGGTCTCTGACAGACTGTTCCAAGAGTTCACATTCACAACTCACCCCAAAAAAGATTGCCCTGACAATTTTCTGAACTTGGGGACGGGGTTTCTTCAACCTTAAGCCGTGACCCTCTATTGGACACAAAAAGCTTCACCGAGTTGATTTACTCTTAAGTACTTACTCACTTGCCAGAACTACGTTGTCACTTGAATATATCCTTTTCTTTATTAATAATTAATATTTTTTTCTAAAAAAAAAAATATTCTACTTGACGCTGTCGAGTATCCGCTCAAACTCTTGGGGATGGACACACCCCGTTACAGTGTGTGTGAACTTCACAAATGCAACATACCGTACGTGCTAGTATTGTACAAAATGGTTACAAGTAGCACAAAGGTTGTTATCGAGAATACGGACTAATAACGTCAATCTAATAAGAGGGAGTTGAATGACAGGATGAGGGCTCCCGGGACGGGCTGGGGGCGTGGCCAACTGATCTGACGTTTACTCCGCTTGGTCTCGTACTCAACACATCTTGTACACGTGACCTCATGGTTAAAACTTACATTGTTCTGTATTGGTTACTTGTGCTCTGACAACCCTAAAACAGGGATGTGCTGTCTTTACTACATAAACCTAGTATATACATGGATATTATTTTGTCTTACAATATTAGAAATCTATTTAAAAATTTTACACCCATTCTGCTAAATTTTGTATTGCAAAGGGTATCAAACTTAGATATTTATTCCCTATCTGGGTACTTTATATGCTTAAATGTAAGTCAGAGCAGCAGATAGGTAGTGGCGCTGGTCAACACTTACCCTCCTGGAGGTGCCTGGCGATTGACCTCGTATCCGGAGTATCCTTCGGGCTTCGCTACAGCCCCAGCTACTAACAACACTCCTACTAACACCCCCACCATCCTTGCCATCTTAGCTCTGCGCTAACTATCGCTCTGTCATAGGTCACTAGAGGCACTGTCACTGTCATAAGAGAAGTTGTGGACGCGCGGGTGTGTGTGCAGCAGCAGGAGCGGCCGAGGGTTGCGGCACGTTTGGTGGCCGCCGAGAGTCTGATGGCGCCTCCCCGGCACCCGCCCAAGTCTACCCGCCTCCCCGCCTGACCGCCCCACCCACTTGCACCCCCTCCATTACACCCACACATCACAGCAAACCTCACTGGTATATAGTGTCAGTAAGGAGTGACCTAATCCAAAATGAAATTTACAAATAGAAATTATGAGCAACAAATCGGCTGGACGCCGTTTGGGTAACGATGATGGCACCAAGAAGGTGGTGTTCAGAAGGGGAAGAACCTGTGCCAGGAGCTCTCCTTGCACAGTGCCAGGGATGAGGCCGCCGCATGTGCATGACGACCAAAGCAATCCAGTCTTTTTACTATGTTTCTGGAAATGGCAGGAACTGTTCATTACCTCAAATTCCCTTCCGTGGGGTCTTTGAACAAAGGCCTTCCACCCCCTCAAAATTAAAATCTTTGCCGCCTCAGGAAAGCGCCTCACCCTCTAGGAAGACCGCCGCCTATCCTTGGCTTATCCGACGGCAGCTGTTCATCTGGTTATACTTAAAGTATTAAGTGAGTATAAGTAACAGTATGCAGCGGTGGCGCGTGTGCGTGTAGGCGCCATAATGCAGGTTGTGGCAGGATGAGGGTGTGGGCGCGAGCACTCCAGCCGTGATAGAGGCCAGGACAGGTGGGGGTCGGCGCCAAGGTCCACCCCTCCCCTTTCCCTCCCTATCCCACTCCCCTTCTCCAGGCTCCAGCCCCTCCCCAGCCTTGCCTCATGTTATTACCCACACATTGTTATCCTCACACTCCCTCAGGAGAATTTTGTTTCCTGTGCCCGGTATAGGTGCCACGGATCCAGTGTGACGAGCTGTGTGTTGGGCTGCCCCGTGAAGGTGTTTATAGTAGGTCAGAATTTTAAAACAAACAATGGTGAGTGTTGACGGACCCCAGCCACGCCTCACATGGTCACTAAGATAAGGACAGCTACAAAACACAGGGCAGCTATAAACCACAATAACCACCAAGAGTAAATATAAATACATGATTGTACATCAATCACAGATTTAATTTTGACTGAGAGATTTATAATGAAGACGAATGCATTAAAAATATGGTTCACTCTCGAAAGGCTTTCGCTATGATCGGCCAATGGCCAAGTGCATTGGCTCCTAACACCCCACTGGTGCAGCTTGACGTCACGTTGACCATTAACGATGACCCTCTGACTTGAGAATGTGTGTTGGGCGCCGCGCAGGCACACCACTACCTCGTGTCTCAGAGGTTCTTACGATACAAAATTCCCTAATTGGAGATATGAGAATGGACGTTATTGACTCCTAAAAGCTGCGGTACAATAATGAGGCTAAATTTTAATAACAATTGCAACGATGCCTTGCTGTAAAACAGAAGCGATATCCTCAGTTACGGGAAAAATATACAAATCAAGAATGTGGTTACCTAGGCCTTGATGAGTGGTGCTCGGCCAGATAAAAGGTGTTTGTCGCTCTGGATCTTAATTCTCAAAGATTCGTAATTTATTTTTTAACCTCAAATAAACTGAAAGAATACAATTATTTGAAGTCTCTTGCACTTTTGACAAATTTATCAATGACGATATCTGGACCACTATTTAAACAAACCACATAGCCATGTTCTTACAATTCCAATGATGAGAATGTTTAATGTACGAAGCTTTCAGACTGCCGTCTGGAGTTGTGAGTGATGGCTCCATTACGGCACAGGAACGCCGTCGCCCCGCGCACCTCATTACTCCATTATCACAAAGGAATGTGACGCTCGCCTGCTCTATATGGTGCCCTGGGCTCCAGCCTTCTCACACCTCCTTGCCGCCACCTGACAGGTCAAAGTTCATGTAACAGGTCTCTTAACACGTTACTGGACACGTGCCGATCAGCTGAGAGTTAACATCAATTGGGGGATTGACGGTTCCCTAGACACGTGTCTGGTCAGTGAGGGCACGTGACAAGATAACATCACGAAGAGTCAAAGGTCACGAAGCTGGTCACTGGGGACGTAGAAAGCCAGAGGATACTAGCTGAGTGTATTGACACCTAGGCCAGTACATAAATTTGTGAACATTTGGAAATGTGAGGACTGAGGATGCATCTAATTGGCTCACCAAGTTTAAGACACAAAGGTGTCGAATTCACAGACTACCACCACTACAAATGTTTGTTCTATGCACAGATGAAAGAAAGGGTAAAATAATAGTGAAAATTCAGACCGGTAAGTACAGATGAAATGCTGGGCCAAACTAGGTTCAGATCAAGGTCAAAGGAGACCTTAGACCACATGATTCCTGCCAGGTCAGTTGTCACGCGACAGATCGCTTCACACGTATCAGTTTAAGCGTCGCAAGTGTAGGTCACCCACCACTCAGCTGTCAAGTGCAGGGTCAAGAGAGACGACTTGGGACACAGTTCACCTCCAAGGTCAAGAGGCTTCCCACAACTAGAGGTGACCATGTGACAGACTTAAAGTGCTGTTATTATTTTATTTTTTGGACAGTGTCTGAATAAACATTTCCACGTTTACGTCAATCATAACTGTCACTTGTGTGCGCACACACACACGTCCCTTTCAAAGGAACAGAAACAAACCCACAAACACCTGAATGAAAGAGAAACGCAGACAGTGTTGATCCAAACACACCAGAGACCCACAGAAAACCTAAAGGAAACAAACACTTGATTTGCGATTCGGCGTAATTTGCGAGAACTTCAGTCGACACTGAAGTGGTCTTTTTTTACATTAAAAATCATGGTTTCACAATCTGAAAATATGCCAAAGTATACGAAAGATCGTCACGTTGACAGGGAGCGCAACGTGCAAGTTGCAAGAGAATCTGCAGGTAAATTTGACAATCACTTCTTGGACTTTCAAAGTTTCGGCAACGCCTATCATTACATGGAAGATCCATTTCACCTTGACATTCTATAGTCTTAAAAAAAATAAGAACTCACCTCCTGCTTAATGTGGACAATTTGTTTTGGAATTAGAGATCATTTCGCCTCAAAGTAAGAGCAATCAGTTGCCGAGAGATGAGTCTGCCTTCAAGCTTTGGCTCACCACAACCATGGCGAGCAACAAAACGCTATTGCAAAAGCCTATTCTACACCCCAAATATCCAGGTCTTCATCTAATGTAGTAGTGCGTGTAGTATGTAAAATAAATCTTATCCCTGTTATAGTTACGGCAGAGTAGATACAGTGCAAGGCTCCTGTCCCAATAGTCGCTGGTAGGAGCCCCCGATGCTTTTGCTGGACTGGGTATCTAACTCCACACGGGAAGTGAAGACTGTCGACTGCAGTGCCAACCACATTCCCTTTTTACGTGCCACATTCAAGAAAGAAAGATGTAACCTTTTTCACACTGAAGGCACAAATTACCTAGTACGGGGGTATTACCAAATGATTGTGAAGAGGGCATAATCCTTAAGTAATTGTGGAGAAATTTGGCTGTAACTGAAGTATGGTAATGTGCCCCAGTAGTGTCTGTATTTTTTTTTGTCTGCATTCCGATGGGGTAAAACTTTGGTCAGGTTCAAGGGATATATTTTGGAGGTCAAGTTTTCGGAGTGTGTACGTCCGTATTATTAAACAACAACTTCCCTTGAAGAGGGTCCTCGTGTCGAAAACCGTAATTTTAAATGCGAATGACCTTTTACTGCAGCACACGATGGAGTGTGGTGGCGGGAAAACGAACTAATATTACTGAAATTTGAAGAGGTAGCTAGCAGATGCTTTTCGTCACCCTCTTCATAATTATTTTGTTAGTTTTATTGAATATTTATAGTCAATACGATTAATGTACAAAGAAACACGTATTGGTAATTTTATAAATCTATTTTTTTTTACATTATTGGTTTTACGACCCATATTATGACATTGCAAAAGCTGTGCTTCCTGCCACTGTTAAAGGCAAGCTGATGGAGTCATCTCATCTTACTAACGCTGGTACTAATCAGGTAAGCACATTTAAGGTAATTTATTAAACTTTCTAGCAGTATTGTAAGTGAGATTCTGTCTGGAAAATATAAACTGGCCAGATTCTTCGCGAGAAATATTGAAATGGATAGACAAATTTCACAGAAAATCGTCACAAAACTTTTTTCGACATATATTTATAAAGTAAGTACATTTAAGTTACTCAATGCAACTTTTTAGCAGTTTTTTAAGTGAGTTTCTGTCTGGATAATATAAACGGGAGGTTTATGCCTAAAAATATTATAATGGGTCGAGGCAAATTTCACTGGGAGGGCATTGTTACAGGGATGGTAACATTACATACAAAAAACCTTTGATACATTGGATCACGATATAATATGTGAAATACTGCAGGCTCTAATTTTTCATCACCAATTGCAGTATTTCGTTTGGGTAAACTTCCATTTGGCTGAATTAGGTGCATAATAAAACAAGTTCACTGGGAGATGGAGTTTGATTATTTAATGATAATGTGACTTAAGCATATGTGATACAGTATTTTGGCTAATATAGAGGACTTCACAGCAGCTTCCCCCATCTCAGTAATAGTAAGTTCGCCCACGGCATGTGATAAGTTATGTTAGGTTAGGTTAAGGTTAGGTTAGGTTAACTTGACTTTAACTTATAAATAAAACTTTAAAACATTTACCATAAATACAACCGTTTCACTATAAAACATACTGAAATTGCGGTGCTTATAAATTTGTTTTCTCTGAAAACCACAAATTTTAACCCATGACATATCAGCACTTAAAGGCCATTTCTTATTATTTTATGCATTACTGTGCATTAGTTATATTTGAAAATGACATTAAAAACCTCAGAAAATTTATATTTCCCCTGTATTTGTAACTAACAGGCTTTCCACAAGTATTTTTATTTTGTAAAATCTTTTCCTCCCCAATCAAATAGACTAATAAATCACATTCTCTCTGCGATATACCTGTACAGTAGGACTTGCCCTTGATAATTGGGAGGAAAAAATATCCATTATGAGAGCGTAGTACTCTTAATTTTAACGCCAACGAAGGTAAACAAACACACACGAGT